CATGTGAGCACACATGCACATAAATGCACACACATAAAAAACAAATATAATTTTAAAGAACTAAAAATCGGCATGCCTTTAATCCGGCCACTTGGAAGGCAGAAGCAGCAGGATCTCTGTGGGTTCAAGGCTAGCCTGGGTTACATAGTGATTTACAGGCTAGCCAGGGCTACATAGCTAGTCCCCGTAAAAGAACCAGTATTATCACAAGACACCCCAAGACCAAGTTCTTAGCACAAAGGAAATTTATTTGCTCCAGAGGGACAACAGGCAGGGAATAGGAGACAAAGACAGGAGATAGAGGAGGAGGCAGAAAGGAAAAGGACAAGGGAGAAGGAGAAGGGGTATTTGCCCCAGAGGGACAAAGGACTGCCTCTGGATAGAGTGGAGACAGATTTGGCCTGTAGGCAAACTGAAGTTTATAAAGGGAGAGAGGGAAACCTCATGTTAGGATGTGCTGGTTGATTTTGACTGGGCACAGGAATTAGGTGAGTCAGCGGGGACTTCTGATTGTGGGACTTCAATACTTTGAGAGCTGGACCTTGGTAGTCAGCTTCAGGAGGAAGAGGTGGCCAGTAAAAGAATAGACCCTTGGTGGCTAGCTTTAGGAATGTAATCTAATGGTTTTCAGCAAGGCAGAGAGAATCTGGAAAGGACAAGGCCTGCCACAGTCATGTTTGCCATCCTCTGGCCTGCTAGAGCCCTTCAACCTGTTTCTGAAAACAAAATACAACAAAGTAAAATTAAATTAAAAAAAAAAACAACAAAATAGATCTACCGTATGACTCACGATTCCTGGGTACTTACCCGAAAAGCTAAGTCAGCACAGTAAGAGATATCTGATGATCCATGTTACCATAGCACTGTTCTCAGCGGCCAAGATAGGCATCGGTCTAGATGCCCGTCAGCAGGTAATGAAGGAAACGTGGTGCGTGTACACAGTGGAGTTCTCTTCGGCCGTGAAGGAAGAATTATGCCCTTTGTAGAAAAGTGGACAGTACAAGAGATCACCACTTAAGAGAAATAAGCCAGACTGAGAAAGACAAACACTGCCTGCTTCTCCCACAGGTAGAATCTAGACTTAACATTTTTATGCTCCTTCCTGTGCTTTCCCCGCCAGCTCACACGCTGACCATCCCCCAGCTTTATCAGAGGGCCCAGACTAACCACAAGGCCAGGCTGTTCCACAAGAGGAGCGGCAGCAGGAGGAGCTCTGCAGTTCCTGGGCTCACCCACGACCCACAGCCTGCCAAGCTGAGGCAGAATGTGTGCACAAGAGGGCAACTGTGCCTGGCAGCGGCAGGCAGATGCCAGACTTCACTCAACCCCAGAAAGCTAAAACCAAAACAAAAAAACAAGCAAACAAACAAAAAAAAAAACCCTGATGCTTTCCTTGCTTAGTGCTGGTCTCACCCTGCCTCCAACACGCCATACACCTGCAGCAGCTGAAGTCATGAACAAAGGAAGACATCCCAAAAATGATGAGCTGGGGCTTGTTGCTAACATATAGCTTGGTCTTTTTTGCTCTGATTTTGGTTTCTTGGGTTTTGTTTTTTTGACAGGGTTTCTCTGTGTGAGCTTCTGTGAGTCAGCGCCCATGGTGGGGAAGCCTTTCAGTCGCTGCAGCTATCTCTAAGTCACCCATGTTCCTCTGCACAAACCGTCACCCACGCCTCTGTAAGGAACCCCAATAAACTCATTGGCTCCACCAGGCTGGATCTGGAAGGAACTGTTCCTGCACTCCGTTGTTGGTGCTCTGAGATAAACAGATATTTACTCTCGTTCCCCCAGGAAAAGTCGTGCACACTACTGAACACACAAACGATGACAGAACTCAGTCAAGGACATGGGCAGAGCTATCTCCAGCTGAGGAGGGCGTCCCTGGCTCAGCTGTCAGCCTAGCTTAAACAGCACCTTCAAGAGAGGAGCAGGCATTGAAACAGATAACACCAAAATCAGAACCTGCCATGGCAGCGGCCCACTCCTGGCGGTCGGAGCGAATAAAGTACTTTTGGAGGAAGGGGGAAATGCTGGCAGGCCTGGCTTGCTGGCCAACTGCCTTTAGCAGCCCAAAGTAAAGAACGGTGGAGGTCCCTCCACCTCCAAGCAGACCATTTAAAACTGCATCCCCCAGAAGAGCAGTCTCTATGAACAGTGCTCACTGGAGTGGCTACTTCAGACCTCACAGTCATTTGTGAAGAGCCATTTGAGGGCCCTGACTGTATGAGCTTTGAAGAATCAGCATGTCAGCCATCCAGGCTCTCTCTGAAATCTCAGGAGAAGTATGTGAGTTCAGACCACAGCCCAGGGACTGCTGCAAGCCTCTGAGCACCTAGGGATGTTGAGCATCTTAGTCATCTCTTGGCTTGAGGATGCCCCACTCCAGCCTTGCTTCCTCCATGTGTACTACCTGTCTCTTTTCGGCACAGCAGTCAGACTAGGTGTGCCATGCACCAGCTCAGCTCTAGGAGGACCTCACATGAACTAATTATGTCTAAAAAACATCAGACACACAAATAACCCATTCTGAGGTCTTGCAAAGAACGTGAATTTTGGGAGGAAGCATGATCCCTCAGATCACCAGTCCTCAGAAGCATGGCTCAGGGAAGCTAGGGTTCAAGCACACACATTGCTCACTATGGACAGAAAGGGGCTAGAACTGCTTAAATCCCAGTGGCACCTCTTAGACTTGCAATGCCTCCTGAGGTCAGGCACCAGACCTTGCCTTGGTCACTGCCCTGGGAGAAGAAGCCCCAAGAAAAGCAACCTCTGAAAGAAAGTGTGAAGGCAGCAATACAAAATAAGCCGTGCTTCCAGGTGACATCATGGCCTTGGCCAGGAGGGTCCCAGGCACAGGACTTGCTTTAACATACTACACTTGACACCTAGAGATCGTGAGTTAGTTATTACAATGTATGTGTGATGTGGGTGGGTATGTAAGCCACGGTGCACATGCGGAGGTCAGAGGACAACTTTCTAGAGTCGATTCTTTCCTTCCTCTCTTATATGGGTTCAGGCATTAACTCAGGTCACACAGCAAGTAATTATTTTTTTAATTAATTTATTTATTATGTATAAGGTGTTCTGTCTGCATGTCAGAAGAGAAAAACAGACTGAATTACAGATGGTTGTGAGCCACCATATGGTTGTTGGGAATTGAACTCAGGACCTCTGGAAGAGCAGCCAGCGCTCTTAACCTCTGAGCCATCTCTCCAACCCCCCAGCAAGTAATTCTTTCTACCTGCTGAGTCATCTCACCAATCATTCCGACATCCCAGAGGCCAGCTAAAGGAAAACTGGTTTCAAGAAGAAGAAATCTCTGGTATGGGTGGAGACCTATCATGTCGAGATAGGTCCAGAGCCAGGCTTGGTGACCTGTGCCTTTAATCTCATCACTTGGGGATGAGGCAGAAGCAAGAGAATCTAGACCAGTAAGTTTCTGCACCCCAATAAGTCTCTCCGATGATGCAGCAATCCAAATCAGACCAAATCAAACCAAATTAGAAAAAGCCCAGGTTTAATGAGTAAAAAAAAAATCCCGGATGATTTTCCAGCCCCCCAAAGAGAAGCTGGGGAAGAGAGACCCAAAAACCACCTGTCTGGTTTTTTTTTGGGGGGTGGGGGTAAATGTCCTATGGGAGTGGCCTTGAATATCTCTAGGGAGGGGCCTTATTTGGCAGGCTGTCTGAGGTGAGGCAGGGTTTGAGGAGAGATGGGGAAGGGGGATTGAGGTGGAGCTTCCACTAGAACATTCCAGACTCTTTGGGATTATGGATGCCAGGGGTTGGGGTGGAGTTCCACCAGAGCATAGACCAGTCTACATAGAATTTCAAGCCAGCCTGCCTACAATAAGGAGACCCTGTCTCAAAAACAAAAACAAAAATAAACCAAGCTACCCAAAACACAAAAGAGATAATCCAGTCAGGTGGGTCACTCACCTGGCAACGCTACCCCTCTGGGAGGCAGGAACACCTTAGAAAGGCCTGTTCGCCTACTCAGCACTAAAGAGACACAATGTTACCTCTTTGATGAGCTCATGTACTTTTTAAAAAACACATCTAGCCAGGCAATGGTGGCGCATAATCCCAATACTCGGGAGGCAGAGATCTCTGTGAGTTCCAGACCTGGTCTACAAGAGCTAGTTCCAGAACAGGCTCCAAAGCTACAGAGAAACACTGTCTCGAAAAACAAAACAAACAAACAAACAAAAAACATCTAAAAGAAATCTCACTTTTTTAATTTTTAAAATTCCATATGTATAGGTGTTTTGCTTACATGCCTGGTGCCTGTGGAGGCTTGAAGAGAGTGTTAGATCCTTTGGAACTGGAGTTACAGACTTTTGTGAGTCACCACGTGGTTGTTGAAAGTCCAATCCCAGTCCTCTGGAAGAGCAGTCAGTACTCTTAACCACTGAGCCATCTCTCTAGCTCCACGAACCAATATTCTTTCTTACATTTTTTTTTCTTGTTCCTAAGACAAACTCTCATGTAGCCCTGACTGGTCTCAAACTGGTCAGGTAGTCAAGGATGACCCTGAATTTCTGATTGTCCTGCCTCCCTCTCCAGAATGCTGGGATTACGGCTTAAACCACCATTTCCGCTTTGGAACCTAGAGATTTGAGCACAGTAAGCAAGCACTATACCAGTTTACACATTCCCAGGCCCCATTCTTGAGTTTTTGATTCTTTTCTAAGTTTGACAGCATATAAAAATAAAAAGTTGCCGGGTAGTGGTGACCCCCGCCTTTAATGACAGCATTCCGAAGGCAGAGGCAGGAGGATCTCTGTGAGTTCGAGACCAACCTGATCTAGAGAGCGAGTTTCAGGACAGCCAGAGCTGTTCCCTCTCTTGGAAAAAAACCATAAACAAATAAATATTAAAAATTACCTATCGCCCTTCCAGCCTTACCCTCCCTGATGGAATTTGGAGGAGTAAAACAGGAAGGTATTTAGGCCTTTGGAATTTGGAAGCACCTACCAGCTAGCCTGGAGTCACGTGGGGCGGGCCCACGTGACCGGAGCCCCAATCCAATATGGCGGCGCCCAGGAGGCGCAGGCTGCTCTTCCTGTCCTCGCTGCTCGGCTTGCTTGGAGTGGCGTGGTGCAGCCTGGGCTCGGGGTGAGTGCAGCTGCCGGGCCGGCCTGCTGGGGTGCCCCTATTCTGCGTGCCCTCGGGCACAGCCCCCCCTCGAGCTCACGATCGCCCCGTCCCCCGCAGGGTTTCCCGCGACGATGACCTGC